GCTCAGCAAGACCGTTTTGTGTTTGAGCGCCCCCAAGTTATGTTTTACTGTCTCTTTTGAAGCTCCAAACACGTGAGCAAAAGCGCCAATCTCATTGGTCGTATAGTTTTTGAGGCGGCGCGGCAAAAAAAAAAAAACGAACCCGAGGCGGTTTTTTTTTTTAAAATGACGCTTTTACTCGTCGGTGTGTACACTCACATTGGCACCCTTTGTTTAGTCATGAGGCGTTAAACGTCGGCGAAATTCGTCCCGGTGTGAAACATATTGTAGCTTTAATTTTCTGGATTTTTTTTGTTCTTGACCTTGTTTTTGACCTTTAAATTTTTCTATTTAACCTACAGAATTGAATTAATTCTAAAAGCAATGTAAGAAATTGATTTTAAAAAAGCATTTCAACATGAAAGTCTTTTACTTTTTTACGTCAAAAAAGGTAGTTGTAAATTCTGTTTCCTTTCAAAATTGCACTGCAGGAACAGATAAATAAGTGCCAGATCACATCATTTCTGTCTGTTCCCTGTTCCCTGCATGTTTTGAGTGCTCTTGACGTAGCTAAACAGCTTGTCTGGGGTAATACTGATTTGATCACTTGTCATTTAGCAGATGCCGATGGCACAGCTCAGTCATTTAATAACTCAGGAGGTAAGACAACAATTTAGGATTTCCTGTAGTGAACTGCTGCCTTGATTTTCTGTTTACTATAAATGATTCAGAACAAAAGCATAATGAAGGAGGGCATGCGTGTTTCTTAGTATTTTGTATGTATGCATGCATAAATGTGTACTGTTTGTGTACGTGTAAGCTATTGAAGTCCTTTACTTGTTTGCTCATGGCTTAGTGCATGCAGTGTCTTTGCATTGTAAGTCTTCAAATATAATCATTCTACAATCAATCAAAACTGCGCTCTTAAGATGAAAACCAAATTGTGTTTTTTAGGACCCTGTGGCATCAAAAATCTGGGACTGATGGCCTTCAAGGACCAGGGTCTGTCTCCTCTGCTTCTCTCTATCCTTGTGTCATGCACTAAACCGTGTCTGTGTCTGTAAGTGTGTGAACACGAGTGTGTATTTCACGAGAGCATGTGCATGAAAGAGCACCTCTGTGTCTTTATGTATTCTTCTGTGTGTGTGTGTGTGTGTGTGTATTTATATGTGCTAGTAGGTATAGCCTACATGATGTAGGTGTGTGTAAGTGGGAATTCATACTGTAAGTGCAAAAAAAGAGAGACCCCCATCAGACCTCTGTAATGGAGACCAGACTTCCATCCCAAGATTCCTCACTGCCCCGCCACCCACTCCCCTGCTGCAAAGCCCTCTGGGAGCTCTGAGGCACAGCTTGGCAGCACATGACCAGAAAGAACCGCCGCTTTATGTTCTCCCGCCTAATCTACACCCTCAGGCGTTCCTTCACACACTCTCATCCTTCTTCCAAATCAATCACGCCAAGGTCTCTCTTTTAAATAGATCTGGCTGCTTATGAAAATCAAATTTCTTACTCATTGCAGTCAGGCGATCTGTGACTCACGGGCCAAATATTTTTCCCTCAAAGCTCAAAGTCACTGTGAGCGGTGGAAAATGAAACCCTGTAATTATTCTATAATTCATGCTTTCTCATCCCAGCAGTGTGGAGTCTGATCCTCGCTTGTTTTTCGAGCGGCTTTATTTTTGAGCGTGGATCGAACCCCGAGCCTTCGCGTTACACACGACACGGCGCTCGCATAGCTGTGGTCAAACTCCATCGTCTGTAATCGGATCAAAACCAGAACAATGGCAGCCTGGATCTGCAGAAAGACGGTGTTTTCTGGGAACGCGGGCCAGGTTTGTTTTAAGAGGCGAACAACGCATTCAAAATCACTTACGACCTCGCTGGAAAAGAGACAAAGGGGAACATTCGCACTTATTTGTCCTCCGTCTTAATGCGGTTCCGTCACTGTTTGTGTAACGCAGGGAGTCCAGGGGGGCGAATCAAAACTGAAAGATATCGAGAGGGTAATGGCCTTCTGCGTGATAGATGGATGAAAAATAGATAGGCCATTTTTCAATGAAACCCAGGCCTTTACTGCAGGTGGGATTAGAGGATGAGTGATGTTGGGCCAGTGAAAGTATTAATATATCATTAGTATTGATCTTTTTCATTAGCAGCGCTGTCTGCCCAGCAGAATCTAAGCACTATTGACTTGTGGTACAGGAGAGTGCTTGAAGCTGGGCTTCGAATGATCGATGCTTCGTCCTCTCGTCCACACAAGCGTGCTTTTTTAAAGCTTAAATACTAAGCAGCAAACAAAAATGCTTTTTGTGCTTTATAAAGCCCTAAAGATATGTATGACATCTTCTGCAGTTTGATTTGTGCTCTTATTTTGCCCGCATTTCGATTATGAAAACAACATCTTAAATTCAAACTAAACTGGTTTGTCGGTCCAGCCTGGTGTGTTGACTGGTATTGAGCTGGTTAAGGTGGTAGACCACCTGGCCAACCAGCTAAACAACGTAAGAGACCAGTTGAAATCAGCTAAGACCAACAAACCAGCTTATGTTGGTTTAAGCTTTGTGAAGTATTGTTGTTACCTTTTACATTCATTTAAAAATATAAAAAAAAAACATATCAAATAATTAGTGTTGTCAAATTGGACATTTTTTACTTAATTGCATGTTTTTGTTTATATATATATATATATATATATATATATATATATACGTAAAAGTGAATGTGTGTATATACTGTATACCTACACATATTTATACATAGTACAAGTTTACAATTTTTCATTTATATATACAGTATATATGTATATATATATATACATATAATCGCGATTAATTGCATCCAAAATAAAAGTTTGCGTTTACATAATATATGTATATATAATATAATATGTGGGTGCACTGTGTATAGTTATTTTATCTATATAAATACACACACATCCTTGTATTTATTTTCATGTATATACTGTATATAGATTTATATATAATTTATATTATATAAATATCAATATTTTATATAAATAATATTTTTTTCTTAAATATACATGCATGTGTGTGTATTTATACATATACAAAATAATTATACACAGTGCACCCACATGTATTATGTAAACAAAAACTTTTATTTTTGGATGCGATATATATATATATATATATATATATATATATATATACGCACTTATATTATGTAACCACAAACTTATGTTAGGTTTGATTAATTGTCACCAATCGATTTGACAGCACTAAATGTTATAAATAATATTATAAATCAATTATATTATTCTTATATAATTTATATTTATTATTATTTATATAGTAAAGCTTGGGAGTGGTTTGATTTTTTGGGGATCAAAACTACATTAAAATCGATAATAATGTTAATTAATATTATTATTGTTACAATTTAAAATAACAGTTAAAACATCAACGTTGAAAACAGTTCTAGATATTTTTTCTGGATTCTTTGATGGATGAATAAAAAAATTCAAAAGAATGGCATTTATTTGAAATAGAAAACTTTTGTAAAATTATAAATGTCTTTACTGTCACACTTGCTCAATTTAATGTCCTTTTTGAATAAAATTAATCTTTTCTTTCAAAAAAAAAATATTAATATGATAAATAACAAGCAGCGGCCGTGCATTGCTAAATTCGTTTAATTCTGCTGTTCACCAAATTTGTAAATGGCAAGATAATGCTTATTATTTACAGTGCGTCAGTGCACCAGACTGCTTTGTGCTGTGCGTATGACAGCTATAACAGCTTGATCTGTTAATGGATACGCTTAAAGATGGGATTCCCAGGCGTTGGGTCGAGTAAAAACAGCATTGCGTAGCTCAAGGGTTAGAGCGTGCTGTAATCGCCGCTTTCCAATCGTGATGATGACCTCACACTATGTGAGATACACTATGTCTGCCTCTTCGTCTATCTTTCTCTCACCGTCTGCCTGTCTGTCTGTCCGTCCGTCTGCTCTGTCTGTGCTCAGACATCTATGTCAGGGAGAGATTTAGACATAGGCACATAAACATATGTATCTGTGACAAGGCCATCAGTCATATCTTTATTTTTAAAGCTAGTGATTTGAAGACTTCCCCCTGACTAATGACTAATGTCTGCCACTTCAACCAAAAAAAGCAGCTCAATTTTTAGCGTCCCGACTGAAGTTGATCTCTGCCGTCCTCTGCTGGACATGGAAAGCAATTGCATGTGGGCTGCTTTTCTACTCATCCTGTGTTTGTTTGTAGATTGAGAACTAACATGTCAGAAAATAACTATACTCTGTCCTGGTGTGTGTGTGTGTGTGTGTGTGTGTGTTAAGCAGGTTTTTCAGTGTTTTGGTACATATTCTACTCAAATTAATAGCCTACATTTTTCAATCATTAAAAGTTTCAAATGGCCAAATTTGCCACCTACATTATTTCCCTTTTTGTTTTCTTTTTTTTTTTATTAGATTTTGACATAAAACTCCATTTATTCAATATAAATTCACATTGAATTTAGTTTGTCATTATAAACAAAGTTATACCATATGACTCTAATAGGTTTTTTAACCTGAAAAATAAATGGCCATATTCGAAGAGAGTAATGTTTGTAAATCATATATCTATCATTTCCCGACAGATCTAAAGATCATGAACTTTTAATATCTGACTCTGTTATTGTATATGCAATTGACCGTTCGCAACGACCCGCCCCATTTAGTTACTGTCGCTATGTCCGACAAGCATGTTCTCACGCAGTGAAAAATACATACAAGACAGACAGGACAGACCAGGTTACTTTTGATACGAAACAAAGTCTCAACTAAATTTGGTAATTTTTTTAACGAAATTTAAACAATACATACCGTTCTGTGGCTCTTTAATGTGTCGTGACAGAGCCTCATTTAAAGCTGCTCATGAATCCATCATCTCTTCCTTCTAGTTAATTTATAGTTTTAAATAAACATGAATGAACATCAGAAGGAATGCTGTTTTAACTGCGGAAAAATGTCACTACACACCGTTTTTCAAGTTCAAATCCTCCAACACTCTCAGAAAAAAAGGTACAAAAGCTGTCACTGGGGCTTTACCATTTCAAAAGGTAAACTTTTGTCCATTTTAGGTGCTAATATGTACAGTTTAGGTGCTAATATGTACATTTCAGGTGCTAATATGTCAATTTTAGGTGCTAATATGTACATTTTAGGTGCTAATTATGTACATTTTAAGTGTTAATATGTACATTTCAGGAGCTAATATGTCCATTTTAAGTGCTAATATGTACATTGTAGGTACTAATATGTACATTTTAGGTGCTAATATGTACCACTAAGGTACCAATATGCGCCTTTAGGTACAAAAGTGGGTAACGCTTCCTTTTACAGTAAAGTACTTACAGTGTAGAAAGTACTGGCTAATATAAGGTAAGTACATGGGACAGGGGTAGGTTCAGGGTTAGTACTAGTTATTACCCAGTAATTGTAGTTACTAAAATATGTACATAGTATTTACATGGGTAACTGGACTGTAAAAGGAAGCGTTACCCAAAAGTGTATCTTTTGAAAAGGTACAGCCCCAGTGACAGCTTTTGTACCTTTTTATCTGAGAGTGCATAATCTACTAACTCTCCTGATTTGTTTTGGGGTTTTTTTCCAGACAAAAATGGCGGATTATGATTGGTCAGATCGCCTGTCAATCAAACTCCCTGCGAAGGGTCAATTGCATGTTGGCTGCAAACATTATTGTGTTTGTAGGTTGAGAACTGTACACTGTAAAATGTCAGCGGGTCAACCATTTTAACTATATTTCTGTCTCTGTCTCGGTTTGTTTGTTGGGGTGCGTGGGTGTTTGTGCACGCATTTGCATGTGTGATTGTGTGTGTGACCCAGCCCAGGCGACAGCAGGACCCCAGCCCTGGCTCCAACATGGGCAACACTGATGATCACAAGATGCGCTAGCGGCATTCACCAAAGTGGGCAGGGATGGGGTCACAAGACCTCCATCACCACAGCAATCTCATCTCCTGATGCCTTGTTTATCACAGGACAGACCAAAGTCCACACCGGTGGGGATTTTCGGGTGGGATGTTTGGGGAAACGGCCTGGTGAATGGGGCTGGGTGGGTTGGGCTGGGCTCAGAGATTCATTCGCATTTGATTCACTCCCTCGTTTCTTCTTGGGATTTTTGCACTATGTGATACGTTCAGTTTAAGTCCCCCATATCGCCTTTCGGTATGCATGGTTTTCCTACCTATGTTTGCTCTTGTCCCCCCCTATGCAAGGCATCTTATTTTGTCCTATTGTAATGAAATGGCATTTTTCAATTATTTTATTCGTATTGTGTGTGAAAGTCAGGATGTTTACTTTTTTGTATTTTCATTTCATTTCTATATAAACGTGTCTGTCTTTGTGCTACTGTACGTAGTAGAAGCTAGTAAATGTTGCTAGGTAGATTTGTGCAGTAGAATAGATCTTTTTTTGATTTCTAAAAAGAAAAATCTAGAAAGAGGCTGCTGATGTTGCGGATGAGAAGATGTGCTCTGTCTTCCACTCTCTTCCTGTGACAGTCAGTTAAAACGGGCTTTAAACAGCAGGAAGTGAATATTGAGGTCAGTGTTAGTGCGCTCTACACAAAATGAGAGTTTTTCGCCCTACATCTGCTTGTTCAGTCATTAATGTCAATGTTCAACACATTTAGTTTAGGCTTTTCATAGTGTTTTGCTATATATTCTAAATTACTTTGGACTTCTTCATATTATTATTTTTTTCCCAGTCATTTCCAAAAAATTTTTTGCCACCTACATTATTTAAATGTCTTTTTTCATTGGATTTTAGTTATATTTTGACATGGAAACTTCAACACCAGGGCAATTTAGGCAGTTGCTTGTCATTATAAACAATGCCATTTGCTATACATGCCAGATATGACTCAACCCAAGGAGACCCAAAGAATAAATGACAGTGATATTTGTAAATCATATATGAACATTTAATATCTGACTCTGTTGTATATGTGTATATGCAAGTAAATATAATCATGAATTCACAGAGACTGTGAAAGAATGTTATTTTCCACCAGGTCCACCTTAGTGCGTCCCCTCGTTGAAAGGTCCCGGTTTTGCCCCCTCCCTGACGAAAGCCCTATTTGAGATGATGTAGTGTTTTGGGACAGTCAGTGTAGGTGGACTAGATGTTATTTCTAAAAGGGAAAATTTCTGAAAAACAGAAAAGTAAGTAGGATTGGAAAGGAAAGACAGGTTAGAAACCAATTGCTCAAGGTACTCTTTATCATGAACAACAATCATAAATTGACCTCTTCTGACAATTTATTTTGTATAATCAATGTTTAACATGATTGTGTATGTTTTTTTGTTTTATTTTACCACAGACAGTGGGATAAGCATAAGGGTCAGGAATTATTATTTGGGAGGGATGCTGAAGTCAGAAGGCACGGCCTACCTCTAGCTTAAACCAAATATACACAAATGAGAGCTTATTTATAAAGAGCAAGTTCATGTTGTCTGAGTGTTGAGGGAAGGCTAAAGCTGGTTTAGTAGAACGTTAAAGCTTTATATAGATGGAGTGGGCTTTTATACCACACAATGGTCAGAGACTGGGCACCAGGAGGATATTGAGGTCTGGATATATTTTGAAGATGCCAAACCAGAGTCCACAAAACAGAATCCTACTTTAATTGAATCCCTCAGATCAACTCTCTGCTTTCTAGGTGTGTCTTATGCTATCAAAGAAATACCCTTTGCTGGCCTTCTATTAGTTTCTCTCTCTCATCCCTTTACTTAATGCTGGCATTAAGGCAAAATACACACCAGGTAGTGGATGGCTCTTTTTTTTGTAATGAATTAATAAATAAAATGTTTATTTTCTTAATTGTTTTAAGTTATTGATGCAGGTATACCTTTTGTTTCATTATCAGGTTCCGCTATGATGAAATGTGTATTTCTGTATTGATATTGCTTTCATTTTGCCCTTGGCCCCTTAAGGAACTGGGTATGCTTTTATATGGTTTTTGGTTTTAGCTCTTTTTCTGTTTTTAATTTTAAGCTAGGAGGACTGGTAACTGAAGTGTTGTTTGATTTGTTTCTTAATAAACTTGTTACAAACTATATTTTTGCTCATTGTAGTGTGTGTGTGTGTATGTTTATTTTTTTCATGCAGCTCAATGTGTGTTTTTTTTTATAATTATTAATTAAATTAAAAAATAATAATAATATTTCAAATACAATAATTTAGTATTATGCCCCGTACCAAGCAACCTGTAACCCGTGTTTTTCCAACCTTATACCCGTGAAAGTGCACTAGACTCGTACTAGATCGATATCGATACACCCAAGAGCTCTGCCCGGATGCAGTGTTTCTGCAGGCGGTACACGGTGAGAATCAGAATCAGGTGAGAATACACTTTCGGACGCCGCGTTGCATTCTGCGACGTGGCGGCCATGTTGACGGCTTATGATGTAAACATACCAGCAAGTCGAACAGCTGAGTTGGGAGAAAGAAAATTTAAAAAAGATGTTAAAATCCCTAAAAGGACGCTGAATTTACCAGGATACGTTTAACAGGGAAACCAGGGACCGGTATGTGGATAAAACGGCACTTTTAACGGGTTGGATCCATGTGAAATTTCCAGCAAACAGTGGGAGCACAGTAAGTTACATTACGCTTACTTAGCTGCTAGTAACGTTACCTAGCTGCTAGTTTAGTAACAGTTATAGTGCTAACAACCATTAACACATGTAAAGTACTTTAAACTATTTGTTTTAAAAGTGTAGTTAGTAACGTTAGCTGTTTTAAGCAAAACTTAAGTTAGTAAGCAAAACCAAACGATGCTTAAAGCAAGAGGGTAGCCTTGTGCGTAAGTTAATCCGGACAAAAGTAAGATGCGCTCCACCTTGCTGCTAGTTTAGTAACTGTTAGTGGTAACAATAATTCACACATGTACTTTTAACTATCATGTGTTTCTGTCAACCTTTTGTCAACTGTCAACCCTCTTTCCTTTTTTCTCACGTTACTTGAGCTCTTTTCCTGCTGTCTTCCCGTTTTAGTGTTTTCCTGTAAAATATCCCGTATTTTAATATTCTCATAACATTAACATTAGCCCTTCAATTGGACCTGTCAGTCTCTGTTGTCCTGTTGCTACCCTTACTGGCGTGGCGGCCATGTTGGCAGCTTCGCGCATGTAAACATACAGCAAGTCGAACGAGGAGAAGCAGCAGAGTTGGAACCTATGGTTGGGACATAGAAGAGAAAAAAGACTAATAGCTTGATAGTGAGTACTAGAATACATCTTATTTGTTTATCTTCATAATGATAAGATTTTTTTTTAATTACATGTGTGATTCTGGCATGATGTCACTACATGGACTGCGCTCCTTCCTCTCCGCTCGTCTCAGGTAAATAATGCGTCTTCAGCTCAGCTGTCAGAGTCGCGCGTTCATGTGTTCATGTGTTTTGGGGACGTGGCTTTGGAAGGAGCCCAGAAGGGAGTGGGTGAAGTGAATGGAAATAATGAGCTGTCTTTAAAACAGTCGTGAGAGGTCTACAGACACTCGATTTTTATACTTTCTTTTTCAGAGTACTTACATTTTAATTATGCATTGATATACAGAAAGTTTAAACAAAAACTACCTACAATACCTTTAAGGGAACGTTCCCGGAACATTCTCCTTACGTTATAAAAATGGAACCTAATGGAACGTTCCTATAACGTTCTTGTTTGGTTCCCAAAAAAATAACCTCATGGGACCATTCGGGAACGTTAGGGGAACATTCTGAGTTTGCTGGTAAGCACCCTTGGCGACAGAAATTATTACAAATGCGCATGAGCCCGCCATATAAGTTCCGCCGTGTTGGTTTGTTTACAGCTACCACAATTTTTGCGCTCAGGTAGTTTGACGTGACTGGCCTGGAATGCTAAAGTCGTGAGTCGTGGTTTGAAGTCATGATTTAAGTGCTCAAAAATCTTCCTGGAACGCAGCATTATTCATTAATCTAAAGTCCTGAAGGCATTTTTAGAGTTGTTTTTTTTTCTGAGTGACACACAAATGTAAAGACTCATAACTCCAAAAACTAAAGCAAGGAGACTCCAAAGGTAGGTATCGTTTGATAAAAAAGTGATTCCATTTGGATTTTTGACAAATTTTAATTGTGAGAATCTGCTGTAAATAATGATGTGCTATTCAAATTGAGAAGTGCTATATATTAAAGGCACACTATGCAAGAATTGTACCTTAATATAACAGCTTCAAAGTAATTTTGGTGGTAACAATCTCACAGTAGGGTGAATCATCCTGGTAGTAAAGCTTGGGGTGGATTGCGAATTGGGGTAGGCGCGAATTGAGATATACATTGATAAGCAAAATTAATTAATTCGTTTCGCTGACATGCCTGGTGTACCGGAACCACAACACAATGTTTTTTTTTAGTGGCAGACTAAAGAATAATGTCAGACTGTTGATCTTTGAAAAAAAAAAAAGTTTGGTTCAGGTTTGAAATTCATTATCTTTTACAGGCTATGTAGTCTAATATCATTGTAGGCCTACCCTTAAACACCCCCTAGATCTCTTATTTAAAGGCACACTATGCAAGATTTCTACCTTGATATAACAGCTTCAGAGGAGTATCAGGCCGCGAGTGCAGAAACGCTCTGCGTGAGTGGTATTTACGACAGTAACGTTAAATACAAGTACTCCACGGCGACTCTAGGGGTCACTGTTTGACAAAAACGGAATTCCTGCATAGTGTGTCTTTAAAAGATGAAAGCTTTATTTATCAATATATTTTAGATGGCATTTTTCATATGGATACAATTTATTATGTTCCACGTTTTTGATCTGAGGAGAGTCTCTTCATCTTATTAATAGTCTTTGTCAACAAACTTGCTTGATCTTTAGCCTCTTTGAACCAATGTGATTTGTGCACTCTTCATCTGACAAAGCTTTTAGGCAGTAAATATTGCAAAGGGGAACAGAAGCTTTTGATTCTTTGTTCTAAACAGTCATAATTGTTTTATGGACTGGAACTCAATTTTTTTCCAGCCACTTCATTGCCTGCAGTCATCCTGACCTCTTCTCTAAAAGACAGTAGACATTCTGCCATCACAGTGTATTCATACAGAAAAACAACATCAATCAAAAAAAAAAAGTTTTTGAGATGGAAAAAATAATAAAGCAGCGAAACAAGAGATGCAAAATCAGCTCATCTTTATTTTATTACGTTCAGCCACTGTGCTAGATCCTTGAAATCCTTTAAGGGACATTATTACTTTTTTTAAATATAAAAACGCTAAAGTTTTCTGTGATGGGTAGGTGGTTAGGGGATACAGTTTGTACTGTACAAAAATCATTGTGAAATGTCCCCATAAAACATGAAAACCCTTATATTATACTGTGTGTTTGTAATGTATCTATATACCACTAGATGTCAGTGTATTAGCAGTGTATTGTCAGTGCTCAGCAGGAACGAGTGGCTGTTATTTATAAAGTATACAATACTCTTGATTGATCCATTAAGCAGATCCATGGACTACAGAGATGGCTCTTCATATATTTATAGATCACAGTGGAGTCTGTTTTGTCCTGTCCTACTTGATTCACAATAGCATTTTGTTACCCAACAGCAAAGTGACATAGTCCTAGGACAGGAGATGATAACTGCTCTCTCACTCTCCATCACCTTCACTCACCTTTTCTCTTTGAATGAGCCTCAGTTATTAGGCTATCTGAACATAATATTCAGTGAGTGTAATTTATCATATCGTCCCATCCCCCCAAACACTCAGTGATAAAACAAAGACATACATTTGTAGAAATCTTATCACCTATTCTTTTATATCCATCATGTTTTATTGATTATATTTTAAGATTATTTCAGGTCGGGAGGTCTCGATCCCGGTCATTCCTGGATATGCACAGAGTCTCGTCTATACCGCCTCCAAAGGCCTAAAAGACAAGGCTGTCTTACCTGCAGGGAGTGAGTGTTTGTATGGGAAGTGAAGAAATATTGATTTGCACTGAAGAGAGCCGCCCACACACACACCGAGAGAGTTACAGAGAAAGAACGAGATGAGCGGGAACTTGTATTCAGCTCTTTGGGATTAAAAGGGTCACAGCCTCATTTTTTTCAACCAGACCTCCACCTTATATAATGACCATGAACTGTATTCTTTTGGCCGAATGCTAATGAGGTCCACTTATAATGCTTTGTTACTTGTTGGCGTGTAGATGTGTGTATGGCAATGTCAAAGTTTAGACTCCTCTGTGAGAGGGGGCATTTCTGCTGTCAATGAATGGTGTTTGCTTCAGTGTGTTTGGCTTAGAAATATTTATGACAGCACTCAAAGAAATAAAATAGATCAATTAGTTTGTCTGCTTATCATCAATATTTTAATATTTAAATTTCAGGCTAGTCTGTGACCAACTCTAGCTCTTTGTCTTGTTATAATGACCATCCTTGACAGTGGAAAAGGTGTTCATTAAAGAGCAGCATACTTGTTTGTTTGTTCTGGTTGGTCTTTTGGCCAGGATATCCTGGAGCTTTGCTTGGCCTTCGTTCCTGCAGGGCTCTTGTTTCGGAGAGCTCTAAGTGGCTCTTGATGCTGGTGGCTGGGCTGGCAAGGCCCTCAGCAGACCCTGCTTATTCTCCTCTTGGCAGACACCCATAGTTCTCGCTCACTGGCTTCCTAATTTAGTAACGGCGGGTAAAAATATGCGCTAACGAACAGGGTCTGGTATGTCAGGCTGCCGTCCAAAAGGGGCGAGAGAGAGAGAGGGATTTGGGGGTGGAGAGAAAGGAGGGGGTTTGAGATCAGGCATTCCAGATCCAGAAGATGGCAATGCACAGCATAGCACTGGACTTAGTCATAAAACAGTTTAAATCAAATTATTGAACAACAATTTGTAATTACCTCACTAGTGTTGGGTGTGTTACACATTACAAGCGAGTTATGTAATCAGATTAAAGAAAGTGCAATGCTAGTGCATTACTTTCAAATTTATGACAACATATCCGAGTTACTTTTTCAAATAATTAGCACAATTTACTTTGTTTTCCCATTTGACTGACGGCTCTCCTGTCCTCATATTGAGAGAAATCAAGAGTAAATCTGAGCATGCACAAAATCTCACTTGCACAAAAACAGATTCGGAATTCCACAAAATGAATGAAAACAGTGAAATGCGAACTCAGAATATTATACGAAATATGCTCAACAAATATAATTTATAAATCTCATTTAATTAACCATACTGACCCTTAGCCATAAAAATGAGCAAGAAATACTTTGCATTTGGTTTTACTTTTTGTTTTTATTGCTAATGTAAGAGTGTTGAACTCCTATTTTTCTGCAATCTAGAAAGGCAGAACAGCTGAAAGTTTTTTTTTTGAGCTGCACCCTCTGCTGTACAGATGTGAATTTGCATTTCCTTCTGCCTGAGGCTTATTCAGAACAGATTACTTTCTATATAAGTAATTAAGTAACATAATTTACTTTTAAGTAACACAATACTGCAATGCATTACTTTAAAAGTAACTTTCCCCAACACTATTACCTTACACTAATGGAACTCATAAAGGTTTGAAATTCTAATTCTAATTTAAACTTTAAAAGTTGTAGGATTCTGAAAAATGTAAAGATTTTTTCCAAAGAA